CCCCCCAACCATAAAATTATTTTCGTTGCTATTTCATAACTGTACTTTTGCTACTGTTATGAACCAGGCCACCCCTGTGAAAAAGTGGTTTGACACCCCCCCCCAAGGGGTCGAGACCCACAGGTTGAGAACTGCTATATAAGCTGTAAGCTGTACTGCTCACCCCCCCTCCTCCCAGGAGCCTCTGGGTGGGCTCAAACTGCCTGCCAGGTGGCTAGCAGCCCCGTGGGTAATGGCTTTGGCCACCAAGACTCGCCAGGACCTACCCACCAGCCCTGCAAACGTGCTCGGGGAAAGGGAGCCTGTGAGCCTCTGCTGTATCAAGCCTCTATTTTTGCCAAGAGGAACTCTTCACCTGCCCAGTGGGTTCCTTTGCAAGCCCGGTGCTGTGGATAGTTGAGGTCGGGGAGGGCAGTGTCTGGGTCCCGCCCAGGCCCTCTGACGCTCCTTGGTGGCCCTCTTCCCGCAGCGGTGCAGAGGAGCCAGGTGTCTGCCGGCGGCGGCGGCGGCGGCGGGGGCAGCGGTCCTGGCGGCTATGGTGGCGGCGGGGGCAGTGGCAGTGGCAGTGGCGGCGGTGGCTCCCAAGGGGGCTCCCGAGGGACCAGCAGCGGCACGAGCTACAGCTACGGAGCAAGCAGCGAAAGCAGCCACCAGTACGGACGGTGGAGCGGCAGTGGCGGCGGCTCCTCCCGCGTGCAGATCATCCAAACCTCCACCAACTCCACCCACAGGCACGTCGTGGAGTAGTGACCACCGCTCTGCCACGGTCCCCTCTCAGACGCTCCGTCCACTGAGTGGCTCTCTCCGGTCTGCTTGTCCCCAACCCTTCCCTGCCCCCCTCACAACGGCCCTTTCCCGATGCCTCTTGTCTGTTGTGCTAATAAATTCAGCTCCAGGTGACCAATAAGGCCAGCAGCAGATGGGTGTTTGGAGGGCCCGGCTTGCAGTCCCAGCACCGGTCAGGCATGGCCTCCGTGGGCTCAGCAGTGTAGCCAGGAGCCTGTGGCACACTCCCTCACCCCCACACCTCTCCTCCTGCGGGCGGGTTGCTCTGAAAACAATAATCCGTGCCTTCCCAAACCAATCCCACCCACTGCCCCCCTCCCCTGCAGCCTATTCTGACTCATAGCAACTCTATAGGACAGAACGGAGCTGCCCCTAGTCTCCGGGGCTATACATCTTTATGGAAGCAGGCTGCCACGTCCTTCTTTTGTGGAGTGGTGGGGGCACATCAACTGCCCACCTTTTCATTAGCAGCCCAGGGCTTTAATCACTGTGCCCCGAGGGGGCCATAGCTCCATCCCCCAGGGACCACGAGCTGAGCACTCGGGAGAGCAGCTGGTGGCCAGGCAAGCTGACTGGGCGAGGGGACGCTCTGCGGCAGGGACGATGCCCAGCTCCTGCCTGTGGTCTGTGTTGATGGAGAGTAGAAGTCTGCTGCCTCGTTCAGACCTTTGGAAATCATGTCCGGTCCTGATTCCGACCCAAGAGACGCCCCATCCCCTGGGTTAGCAGCCCCAGCGGGACTGTTCCAGAGGGCCACTGGGGCCCTGGGAAGACTACTCTTAGCTGTGCACGGAGGGGTGGAGTAGGCAAGCGGTCAAGCCCCGCGTCTGTCATGGCCCCTCCTGACAGCTCTGTTCTTCGGCAGCCTGGTCCTTCCTGAGCTCTGTCCCAGAACACCCACCCAGGACTCGCCCAGCTACCTGGGCCCGAGACCCCACCTGTGCTCTGTCCTGCCGGTTCGGGCCTGAGGAGTCCTGGCTCTTGTGAAGGTTCCCAACCCGCACCAACCTGGAAGCTGCTGGCACCTTGCGAGGCAGTCTAGTGCGTTCCCAGGTCTCCCCAGTCCCTCTGCCCGCTGTCCTCGGCAACTTGTGAGAATTTGACTCTTAGGGGGGCTAACGCTTGAGGTGTGCTGGAGGGGGCAGGGAGGGGACACGACCAGCCACGTAAACGGGCCTAGAGAGAGGCCTGGCCTTGCTTCTAAGACCCGGAGCCCCCTCCGCTCGCTCGCTCGCTGAGCTTTAACCCACCCTCCAAGCCCACGAGTCTCTCGGCCGTGACGGGCTCGGCGTGGGGCCCACGAGGAGAGCTTGTGGCGAGAGTGTTTGCTGGTGGGAGGCTGTCCCTGGAAGAACTCGACATTTCCGGTGTTTCTATAATAAAACGGTCTGTGATGTCAAACGGCTGTTGGGTCAGGAGGCGATTTCTTTCTTTCTTTAATTTCTTTTCTTTTTTTTCCCAGTCATTTTACTGGGGGCTCATCCACCTCTTATCACAATTGTATAAAGCACATTTGTACATTCGTTACCCTCATCGTTCTCAAAACATCGGCTCTCCACTTAAGCCCTTGGCATCAGCTCCTCATTCCCGCCCCTCCCTTCCTGTTCCCCCTCCCTCATGAACCCTTGATAATTTATAAATTATTATGTTGTCCTATCTTACACATATTTCTTTAGTTTCTGTGGGTCCCCGAGTGTCTTTGTATTTGGGAAGTGACAGGGTATTGCTATTATTTTCATTATGTATATTTTGTATTGCTCAAGTCATACACCACCTTGAGGAAGCTTACAGACATCATCTCACTAATCCTTAAAGTGGATCATCCGCCAAGAGTTGAGGACACATTTGTCAGCAATGCACATTTGTTTGGTCCCTGTCAGCCTGTGGCAAGGTCCCCGGTTGGTGTGAGGAGCTTACACTTGGCTGCTACCTGAAAGCTGTCGGTTTGAACCCATCTAGTGGCACTGCAGAAGCAAGCCCTGGTGATCTGCTTCCATCAAAGTTCCAGCCACGAAAACCTTCCTTGTGTGGCTCAGTTCTCCTCTGTCACACCATGAGTAGCCACGAGCCATAACTGACTTGGTGGCAAGGGGGTTTGTTTACCGCGTGGCCCGTGTCTTAGGCACTGGGACTACTGACTGACCTCATCTCTGAATCTCAAGTGCTCCAAGTCCAAATGGTGTCCCGTTGGGGGAGGAGAGTTCAGACACCATGGAGAAGAAGAAATCGAGAGCGTGTGCCTTGCCTACCCCGAGGACACAGGCAGATCCTTCAAACCTAGGCAGTGGGATTGGCAACGGGTGTCAGTGCTGGGGGAGAGGAAGTCTGCCTCAACAGGCTGGAGGAGGCTCTGGAGTGTGTCATGAGGCTGGGGAAGAGAGTAGGGGAGGATGTGGGCAGGGAGGTCAGGGACAGAGGGCCCTGTTTGGAAGGGCCTCCAGAGAGGGCAGGAGGCTGCACAGAGAGGCGAAGATAGGAGAGGTTGAATGTGTGTGAGGGAAAGGGAACGGGTCTGTCCAGGGGGCCGGGAGACACTGAGCTGGGGAGAAAGGGGGTTTAGGTTTAGGGGTCCTGGGCGGGGTGTCTTTACTTGATGCTCCTGAGGAACATTGATGCAGAAATTCATAAATAGAGCACGTTAAGCTATTATTTCATCACATGTGGAACCACTTCATACACACACACACACACACACACACACACACACAC